TTCAGGATTGGGAAAACACTTTCTATTATCAAATACTATTAGGATGAATTAGCAGTGCATGTTGTTTGAGATTAAAAGTTAAAGGAACATATTCATTTTCAGAACAGACCTACATAAAGCCTTAAAAGAAACCAACCAACAGGGCTTCGGTGAGAGAGATGTGAGAAAATACACCATAGACGTGCTGAAGTGTCTACAGATGCTCAGAAAGAAGAGGATCATCCATGGTGACCTCAAAGCTTTGTTTCAGAAACATCTTGAATAGTTACAGGCACATAATGTGCACCATTATGATCAAGATTCAAAGTGGTGTCTGATGAGTTTCTGAGCTGCAGATGTGGATGAATTATTGAAGTGGAAGAATCCTTTATTATCAGCATAACATTTAAAACTGCAAACTGGCTTATCATAAACTGAGGAACCCATGAGCCTTTATTAAGGACTCACTCACATTCCAATAAGCCATAAGATGTGTATTTGCAAATGCTGATACTGTAAGTTGTTATTAAATAGGCTTTGGTTTAGATGTTCTTTTCAGAAGGTGGTGAAAACACAGCTTTATTAAAGGCTTATTACTGATCTATAAACCTATAATAAATTATGTGTAAAATAATAATTATTAATCACTAATTGTTACTGCATTTTCAGTACAAACCCATACACCATATTTGTGCCTCACTGGGAATTCCCAAATGTTTTTCAATAAAACTTGCTCAGGCGAACATGTAGTATAGTTTAGAAAGTACTATAGAAACATTTTGTTTATGCCAATTCTGCTTTATTATTTTTTATGCACCCCGGCAGCGGACAGGCCACCGGTTCCAACCCCTGGTTCAAACACAGCGTTGGAACGCCGACCACTTGGAGGAGTAAGAGGACTGAGTAGAGGCGGCTCTCGACCCCTGGATGGTGCAAACCACCTCACGGAGAGACCTAGACCCTCCAGGCGCCGCCTTTCAGCGGCCGGACCCACAGGGGCTGGCCAAGAAGGGGACAACTCCTGATCGCGCCCCCCTCCTGAGAGAGGGCATCCTCCCTGAAAACTGTAGGTGGTCCAGAAGGCACGGGATCAGCCAAACTGGTGGAAAAGCATACAGCAGCGAAGGCGTCCACCCCTAGTGGGGGGGGGGGGACGTCCCGCAGGCTCAGTGAAAACCACAGGGCTCACTGAGCATTTTTCCGGTTGGCAAACAGATCCACCCCTGCCCCGTCGAACCGGAGCCAGATCTGGGCCACCAGATTGAGATGGAGGCGACACTCGTCTAGGCGACACGATGTCCGCCCCTCTGTTCAACACACCAGGGATGTACTCCGCTCTGATGGAGAGCAGATGAGTGCGCCCACAGGAGCAGCCGCATTGGCCAGCACGAGCTGGTCCCGCAGCAGAGGGGCGAAGTGCCGGATCACCTTCCACACCGTGAGGAGCTCCAGCCCACGTGAAGCGTAATGACCGCTTAGAGGGCTCATATGACACAGCCTGCCTTCTGTGAACCAAGGGGGAACCCCTGGACGCACAGAAGGACCGTGCCAGTGATGCTGTGATTATGCATGAGCTCGCAGGCGGGCACCGCCAGGGGAGTGTGCGTAACAGCATCACACACTGCCCGGCAGATTTCTTTTTCAGAAATATCTGTACAGGGTGTGTATGTCCACTGTCGTGGGCTCATACACAGTTTCTGTTGGGAGGGGTGTGTGAAGGGACCTCTGATCGTGAACTGAAAGCATACTGCTTCAGGCTGCAGGTTAGCCACTTGGCTAACGGCAGCTGGCTCACACAGTGTGAAAAATGTGTGCTTGGTGTGGCTGATTCGACTGAGACAGGCACAGACAGCGTTTGTTCAACAACTTCCACAAAAGCAACAAGATTTCACACAGCTTTTTTTCAGCCCATAACTTACCAGTGGTCCGCTCTGACCGAAAAGGGTCAGTCAGCAGCAGTAAAACCGGTTGCTAGATGTCATTAGCCGCAGCTACTGGGGTGCAACGTGGACATATGAGGTCTCCCTGGTCGGCTGATAGACCGCATGTCAGCTACACGTTAGCTTGACGGTAGCATCCTTGTAGCCTAACGATCGCTTGCCTTGCTGCGGCAACATAGCAATGTCGAGGCCGGCGTCACCGGATGTTAGAACGGGGGAAGGTAAACCCAATAGCGATAGCCTAAGAGGCGAAGCCTACACGAAATAGAACCTCCCGTTTTTTTCCCTGTGCTTTCCAGGCTCACAGCAGTGTGTTAATGTTATGGTATTGTTCGAGGCTACGCTGCTGACATTCATGATTGTAGATTTATTTCTGAAACAGCAGCCACCTGTTGCTAAATTAGCCACAAACGCCATGTTTATCAGTAGAGGAGGCTACCATTAATGAGCGATGTAGTGTCTCCAGTAACAGTCGGCATGTCAGAAAAGATTAAACCAAAGGGGACAGAGCTGAACAAGTATCTAACAGACGGTTGCAGGTCCTCCTTGTAGACCGTCTTGTAGTATTAGATTAATTCAAGGGCAGCGTTTCCTCTGCGTCACTGTATCATACAGCCAGAAGTGTGTTAGGAAATTGTTTCTGCGTTGGATAAAATTGCAGATGATAAACTAGATGTAGAAAGTAGTCATCGTGGCAGATTATATGTAAGGTAATAACTACTGCATGACAATATATATAATTAGTTGCTTATGTAGGAGAGCCCTGTTTATCATTATTATGATAGCAATGACATGAGAGATGATATATGGTGTTATTATTATTTTTATTAATAGTACTATATTGGTATTTTTTATAGTTTGTTTCGCTGGAGCCCACATTACATATACTATTTAAGTATTTTATTTAGTAGTAGTACTCTATAACAAAATCTGATATTTTAAAAATGTTTTCTGTAGTTTTATACATTCTACAAAGTACTATTTCTAACAATAACAAAGTTTCTTTTTAAACTGACTTTGTCATGGTTTCTTGGTGAGGTCTCAACATAACAAATGTTGGATAATCTTTGTTTATGTTACGCGTTTCTTAAAATAAGGGGGAAAAAAATATCGGCCCATATATCGGCTATCAGATTTTAAAGTCCTCAAATATCTAAATCGGACTTAAAAATGCCATATTTGTCGGGTTCTAGAAAATAGTAATACCATTCTCATGTCTCTATGTTAAAAATCTGACAAGAGGAAACATCTAACTTGGCTCTTTCCAAAATCCTCTCACCAGGCACCTCTAAAAGTTCATATTCAAGCAACAGATATTAGAGTTGTATAATACTTCTAATTTATATAGTAATAATGTACAGCAGGCGTGCTGGGATTTGAGTTGCTAAACCCACTGAAATACTTTTTGACATCCCATAGAAGTATGTACACCACACATATCATATCAGCAGTGATATAGTAAAAACACATTTTGTATTTGGTATGTTTGGAAGGTTTCTAAAAATGTTTAAAAAGTGTTGCTGTTTTGAGCAACATAAGTCTGTGGGGTTAAAGATGTTAAGAGATTAAATATCTGAACTGACCTTTTTTCCCTCCACCGCTTCAGGACAGCACATCCTCGGAGAAACTTCATCCATTATCGTAGGAACTTCCACAAAGTGCTTCTGCCTGATGCTTTGTTTGAAGCTGAAAGCATGTCTAATTGTTGCTCTCACTGTATGAGCTGAAACAACATGCCCACAACCCAACTGCAGCAAAACATCATTCAGCATTGATCATTAGTTGATTTAAAGGGAATGTACTTCATCTAGCATTTATTATTCATGAGCATCCTTTACTCGTGACATGTGGGCTGTTAAGTGAACAAAATAGAACCTTATTAAACATTTGACCTAACATGCAGTTTTGTCATGAAAACCTTTTTGTCTTTTCTTTTGGATAGTTAAATGGCAGTCCAGTGATTTTACATGTTAACATAAATTTACTAGTTATAGTGAATACAATTGAATAATGGCTTCTGTGGTTCTGGGGGAGTTTTGTCTAGTCTGAGAAAATGAACCTTGATTATGTCATCAGGGTTATCTCTAAATGGGCTGGAGACTTTAAATATCATAAATCCTGCTTTACCAACTGTGGGTGTGGCGTTTAAAACACTTGGCATTACCAGGCAGGGAGGGACTGACATAAGAAGCTATTGAGGTGCATTTTGGGACGTGTAGGATTCTCTGTTTGGAGTTTCAGACTCAGCTGTACTCATTTTGACTAGTTTTTATTTGCCACATGCAAATCTTTCACATTTATAAAATTAAAATAGCTGGATTGATCCTTTAAAATATATATGTTGTTATGCCTGCGATGGACTGGCGACCTGTCCAGGCTGTACCATGTCAGCTGGGATTGGCTCCAGCCTTCCCTGCACGCAGGATAAGCAGTTGACAATGGATGGATGGATGGATGTTGTTATGCATAATGAATTTTCTTGTGATGCGGTTTCACAAAAAATGTAAAATGTAAAACATAGAACAGTACTGTAATAACGAGGGATACTAAGATGAAAGTATTTTATATAATATCTGCATGATTATTTAATTAGGAAGACATAATGTTTGAGCTGCTCCCAGAATCCTCTTTACCATGATTTCCTCATGGGTTATATGATTTACCATTCTTCTACCTCCATCTAGTGGAGTGATATGGTAAGTACATTTCCTGTTTGGGTTTCAGACTCAAATGACCATGCAATCAACAAGGGGTAGACTTTTTCCAACAAAAATATATAGAGGAATAAATAAATGCAACTGGACAGTTGTTTCATACAAATTTCTGCATCTTTTCCTGTTTTAGTGCTACAGGGGTTAAAATGATGACAATTTCAAAATTAACAATTGTTTTTCCCTCAGATGTTTTTCTTTTCTCCTGACCTCACTGTGTCACAATGTCACTTTTGTTATATTCCAAAAAAAGGACTGCCAGACACAGACCCCGGTGCCTGCATCTTCTGAAACATGCAGTTCAACATGGTGTAATAGCACAAGCAGTTCTCATAAAATTTTCTCGGTGAAAGCGAGTCCAATGACGTCATGATTTTCACAGTTACATTTTTTATTGTAAAGGTGGTTTCTTAGAAAATTGCCATGTGATACAGAGACAAAGAAAGAAACAAATCTACAGAAAATCCTTTGGTGATGACATTCTTATTATAACAGAAAAGAAAACTGCAACACAATCTGCTAGGTAATATTAAAAAAAGATTATACAGATCACACTCATCAAGGTAACACTATGAAAAGTGCAATGAAAACAATACATAAAAACAGTGTGTTGTAACCAAGGCCCCCAGTAACAGTCTTCTGTATGCTGAGCTGTCAGTTTACAGTTTGTAATACTGTGGAAATCTCTGCAATGTTTTCCATCAACCTCTTTTGCAGCAAACTCTCTGAACCAACAAAGGCAAATACAGTCATTTAGCTATCTGTTTTAAGACAACATCTACGGCAGAGAAAGCGAAATGTCCAATCAAAAAGAATCATCTTTGCACATGCTAAAGTAAGATCTTCTGACAGAGCGAGAGCTATCGCAGGTTTAATGCTACATCAGCTGAAACGACAAATAAACAGCAGTACAGTATATAAAGACTACTCTTAACAGTATAAAACATCTCCATTTAAATGTCTGTTTATTAGGGAAAGTGGTTTTTAGTACTTACATAGTAGTGTCATTATAAGTGTTGTGGTTAGATATACAGTACATCCACAAGTCTTTAAAGACTTCCTGTATGAGCATCTATGTCTTGCAAAAAAAATTCTACATCTTCAGCTTATGCCTTTTCTCAATTAGGTGACAGTTGCCATTTTAAACTTTTTCATACAAGGGTTCAAAGTTTGATTAGTACAACTTTTGAACGTTGCTCTGCACTTTATGTTGGGGACGGTGCTTCCAGTGATGTAGTGGTATCTTGATGTGTTTTTATTTCATGCTATTTCATACTTCTACTCTACTACTCAGAGGGAAACAGTGTAACATACTGTATGCTGAGCTTATAAAATATGATGCTCTGTTATGGATTACACGAAGCAACGGATATAAAATTGTTCAAATTAGCTCCAGCACTTTGTACATTACTTTAAGTACAAATGGCTAATAATACATCTGTACTTCAACTTAAGTACCTTATTCAACGCAGGACTTTTACTTGTAATGGAGATCTGAACACTTCCTCCGCCACTGATCAACCCATAGGTGCTGTGGCCGCCGGTGCAACGCTGTTAACTAACATTGTGTCATCGTCTCTTTCTAGAGCTGTTCTCCCTGTAGCTCTTAACTGTTGTGAATGTCCTCGCTGTCAAATTGTTTTCCTGTTTAATACTGCGCCTTGCTGTGTTTGCTTCATATTTGTAGTTGTGTGTGCCCACTTAGCAAGCTACTAGTGTTTTAACAAAAATCCTCCATATCATGAAGTACATGGATTATGAAATGACAACAAGGGAGTGGACTTTTGTTCTCAGAGTTTGTCCTTAATGCGCTTCTTCCCAGGCTTGGTGCTGCTCTAAGAGTTGCTTAAGTTGCCTGCCTTTAAGGCTAAAGTCAGGGAACAAAAATCCCCCAGAGCAGAGGTGGGTGTATGATGTGAGTATTTTTCTCAGAAAATATGAGCAGATTCCGGGGAATACCAGGATCTCTTCCCTAACCGTATTTCATACCCCAACGTCCAAAACTACTGAAAATACACAAAAAATGTTTCAATGGCAAAGCGACTGTAGTTTCTTTCTTCTACAATCCCTGAAAAGCTGATTTTATTTTTTGCAGGACACAGAAATAACTCTCTAATTCTTCCATTGTGTTCTAAAGTAAAAGTCAGCCCTGTTAACTAAATACCTACAATGGCTTCACTAAACAGCACAGTATCATCTTCTGCTTTTTCCCTCCTTTCTTCTCCCCTCCAGCCGACTTACCTAAACTCATCTCCTTTTCCCAAAATTTCAAACTAACCCATCATCTCACCCTCACCTCACATCCCTGTACACAAAAAGTTAATCCCTATCGTCATCTTTAACAAATAAACCCATATTTTCACACATTGCGTATTTAACCCGCTGTTCCCCTCCTCTGTAGCTCAGTAGTGCCCCCTAGCAGGGATGAACGTTACAGGCACGGATCTCCTTCAGGTTCTTACAACTCTCCATCAGAGAGGCTTTAGCTCTTTTCTTCACCATCATTGAACGTTCCTGGATCCCCCCTCCACATGGTTTGGTACAGTCCGTCCAGCTGGTCCACGGCTTCCTCTTGCAACCTGCAGGAAGAAACAGTAGCATGTCAACTCGGGTCTCGTTAATCGCTTATTATGACACTAAAACAGATTCTTTCCACCATTCTTTCGTCCACCTCTCTCGTCCTTTTTTTTGTACTTTTTTTGCACTTCCTGAGCTTGCATTTCTTCCTCTGGATGCTCTCGGGACAAGGTCTGCCTCCGAACTGTGGCTCCAGTTTGATCATACGGGTCCGAATGGTGTGCCCTTTACCGCAGGACTTGTTGCACTCAGACCACTCAGACCACTCAGACATCATGCAGTCGACAGCTGGAAGGAGGAACAGAAGGAGGGGAACAAGAGGATATGTCAGTAAAGGGGAGGCAGACAATTAAATGCCAGATTGATATGCAAATAACAAATATAAGGCCAGGAAAACATTTTGTAGCATATTTCTTCCATTGATTGATAAACTCAAGATGACGTTTAGCAGTCTGAGTTCAGTTGTGCACTTGACAGCTCCCAGTCACTTCTCTGCCCTTCACTCTAAATGTCGTGACGTCTGTGACATTGACCCAGCTAAACATTGGGCTGATGAGGTCAGCTTACCCAGTTCAGTTCCTCTGGACAGTGTGTGATCAAGCGATATGGAGCGCTGGGCAGACACTGCTTTTTTTTTTCTGCAGTTTTCTATCGCAGTACTCTCAGTCAACCCCATAATTTTAGCCACAGCATGAGAAATACTATTCCAGTAAAACAAGTCCACTAAAATTTATAATAGATTTCTTGCAGCAGCCATGTTGGAAATTGGACTGTGCAACTGCACAAAGACCCCGACCAAAATTTCTGACCTGACAGAAATCCAACCAGTCCTCTGACAGCTAGATCATAGATAGTAGATTGTACAGACAGTTAAGCAAACCTTGTGGCCATTATCAAACTGCACATCAAATGACAACCAATTCTAAACAATTTGAAAATTAGGCAGGGGTTCAAATCGGGCTTCATCCATACAGTGCCTGCCTGGTTTGTGCATATATGGGCATTTAAGATTCATTTCTAGCACATTTCCAGTTATCTGCATTGGCCAATCTTATACATGCAAACAACAATCCTGGTGGGTTCCTTTTTAACGTGAACAGCATATTTCTACTGTTTTCCTTGCGATCGTCTCCGAAGATAAAATGATTGCCGCAATAATAACTTCACAGAGAAAACGCTGTCTGAGTTTATTATAAACCATTGCGCAGTGTTCTGGCATCTGAAGAGACTTTGTATTTCATCATCTCAGCGGCACCTTAGACAACATGCTCCTACCATCACAGCTGTTTTAATGCAGGGCTGTTTTCAGTCTGAATCCCTGCTAATTCATTATTCTCCATTCTCATGTCTGCTCAATAGCAAGTGTTTACCATTTTCAATCCTCTGCTCCCCCTCACTCTATAAGTTACCAAGGTCTGAGGGAAAGTGAAGGGGGCATACTAAATAATTACTGAAATGCAACATGGATATGGAGAATAAATCTTGGTCAATGGCCATGGAAATAGGAAAGGCATGATTTATGGGGGCTAAGTGTGGCAGGGCCACTGTGTACGCCCTGGAGGATGCCATGTTGATACCCAGATTAACACAGGTGCTTTGTGAAGGTAAAAGAAAATGTTTTTTGTAAGATTCTTTTGTAATTTTGGCCATTTCTATTAGTAAACAGCATTTTTTTACCAGTATAATTGTGAAGATCCAGGGAAGCAGCAACATTGTAGACCAGAGTCCATTAGATTAGATTGGAAAACTTTGTTAATACCCAGAAGGGAAATTAGTTCAGTCACTTGTGAAAAGTGATAAATTACAAAGGAGACAGAAAGGTCAGAGCAGACAATATATAAAAAAATAATAAAGTACCACATACCAAGAGTACATGTGTAGCAGGGGAGCCTAGCCACTAAATAAATACACTTTTAAAAACAATAGAATTAATATGACCAATTCATAAACACAATGCTAAACATAAGGCATGCACCTGAAAATGGGAACAATAAAACATGCAATAGTTATGAAATGAGACCTCAGAATTAACACTAAATAGAACGCATATGAAAAAAAAGCAGGAAACAGGCCAGCCTCGGGGCAGTTAGGGCTTGCAAAGCTGTCAGATGATCGGACTGGTTGTTATTAATTATTCATTTAAAAAATGTAAAAAAAGAAAAAGAAAAAAAAAGTTTTTTACCTGGCCGATCCTGCAACCACTTCCTGACCTTTACTTGCCGTTCTGGACTCCAACAGTGTCAACACATACTTTCTGAAACTGTTAGAAATGAGGGCCAAACCTACTTACATCAGACCCAGCTGGAACACATCTTTAACGCAGGGCACAGAAAACAGCTCTGTATGAAAGCAGTTTTGTACTTTGTTACTTACGGCACTCGGGCAGCATGCACTTCTCTGTCTGCTCCAGCTCCTCGGTGCACTCTGCAGGATCAGACTTCAGCATCCTCTGACGAGTCCGTACGCCCCGCCCACACGTCACACTACACTCACTCCACTCAGACCAGGGTGACAGCATGCAAGGGATGGTATCTGCAAACACACACAAGCACAAGAATTCAAACACAAAAACCACAATAGCATCAAAATGAAAGGAAATAAATATTTGATAACTTACGGCACTCTGGCATCATGCATTTCTCCACTTCGGCCACCTCGGTCTTACACATTGATCCGTCTATAGGAGGCATCTTCACCATCCGCTCACGTCTTCTCATGCCCAACCCACAGGTGACGCTGCAGGGGTCCCACTCGCCCCATTCAGTCACCACACAGCTACTGGATGCTGTGGGCAAAAAACAAAACAAAACACAAATTCACATACAGTATGTCAGTGTTTCAGTATTTGCCAGTTCCACCATAAAGAGATCCAGTTTTGGCTTTTACTGCTGAAGTCAAATCATTTGGCTCGATTTTAGAGAATATTTACCATGATTATTATCTATCTTCTTTATTTCTCACATCAGAGAAATAAGTCTCAAATGATGAGACTTTGCGTAAGTTACGTTCAGCCTCTTAGATTGAGCAAATAGTAATAAAATGTCATTTATAAACACATTGTCTAAAACTGCAGCAGCCTTTATCAGACTTCGTGAGTCCAGGTTATGTGATTTAAGTAACTAACTGAACAGTGCTTTTTAATTTGAATTCTGTCAGCTCTCACAGCCAACCAACCACCTAGAACCAGTGGATTTGGGATAACTGCACAAAATGAACTTTGCAGAATACTTTTCAAAAACTGATTTAATGAGCTTCAAGTGCATTTTTAAAATTCTACCAAACATTGGCTTTAATGTTTATTGTATTTATTTATTTCTATTAATTACTCTTTTATTGTGTCTGTACTGTGGGACCTCTGCTCTAGATAGGACAGTGGTTCACTCAAGTAAAAGTAAAAATACTGTAATGTAAAATATACTACATCACAAGTAAAAGCCTTACATTCAATTTTTCAAAGTAAAAGCATGCCCTTAAAGTTCTGAAATTAAAAGTGTACTCATTGTGCCCTTTCATACTTACTAGATACGTACGTCTAGAATTCTGTTGTATTATAATATTGTTTTATATTTTAACGTGTTTTAAAATTAAAAGTAACTAGGAATTATAGGTGTGACAAAGATGCAGTGGATTAGAAAGTAAAACTTTTTTTCTCTGAACTGAAGTAGAAGTAAAACGTAGCATCAGATGGAAATACTTGAGTAAATGTACTTACCACAGTACTGTACACGGGCTCATAGTTAGAATACAGGAAAATACTGTGTTTTAAATCTAGTCATTAGAATATATATTTCATTAACTTATGATAATATAAGCATACTAAGCAACCATAAGCACACGTGAATGTTTATATCTGAACATATGGCCACTTGTGGTGAATAATATAAAAGTCTCCAGATAAAGTGAAGCTCTGATAATTTAATATCTGTTACACAAGTTTCGAAAATAAAATAAAACTGCACTTCACTTCTTACATTTGTAGAGGTGAACACAACTCACCACTCATTAGACAGTTTGTTGATTCCTGTGTGAAAAACAGCTGGCTCAAATTATAGGCACTGTTGATTTGGCCACATCATGGATAAAAAATGAAATTAGAATATTTTAAAATTGAGGAACTGGTTGAGTGCACTTAAATTCAAACATACCCGCTCAAACACGCAGTGATATATAAAGAAAGACTCACAGCATTCATCGTTGACGACGCACTTGTCCGTCTCCTCAGTGTGGAGCTGGCAGAGCGAGCCGTCCTCAGGATACTGCTTGACATATCGCTCTCTAGACCTCATCCCCATCCCACAGGACACACTGCAGGCCGACCAGCTGATCCACTCCGACATCATACACGTTGATGGCTCTGTCCACCAGGAAAAGAGAAAAACAAGAAGTCTACCTTGCAACAGATATCATGAAAGAACATCTTGACATTTTATAGTTTATTTTTCATATCTCTTGTTATAATAAGAACAATTCTGCATTTGTCCTCGAGCTCTTGGTTTCTTTGCAGGTGCAGTTGCCTTGTTGCTATTCCTCATTGCAACCAGTACATAAGTGAGTCCACTGCTGGAGTTGACTATTTATTTCAATGTGTAATATAACCAACTTATGTTTGGTCAAATAATTTCGGCTGCCACTGCAAAAGTTCTGTGTTAGGTGCACTTTGAAATTAAACCACACGTCAGGACATATTCCACTGTTCCAGCAGAGGTAATAAAAAGACAGGTGATGTGACTATACTATGTTTGGGGTCAACTTGCCTTCTTTCAGAAGGGCAACATGTGTAGACATACAAAGAGACTGAAAAGGTTAAAGGTAAGATTTAGCTGCAGAAAAGCACCTTGGAGGTGATAGAGATTCGGGATTTGCCTGAAAAGTTATTTTACTATGAAGAGGCTCTCAACTAAATCTGTTGACTTCTACCCAGTGGTAATGGTAATGGTAACAGCCGGAGGAATTCTCTACATGATGTTAGAGAATTCGATACTTCAGTGGTTCCTCACCTTTCCTATAAAAGGAAAAACATACTGGTATCCCAGAAGTCTTTGCTCCAGCAATGTTTAAAAGAGCATGCATGATTTAGAAATGTCTAGGCAGACAAACTGACAAACAAGCAAATTGTTGTACAATGGCCAACAAATAACACAAATCATGTGAGTATTAAATTTTTTGTTTATGACAGGGTTGATATTCTGCTGTTTGTGATACAGTGATTGGAAAATTGTTCTTTCATCATTGCGTAGGTTGGTTTCTCTTATTGTTTCTCCTTCCCACCTTTCTTGGCCCTATGCTAGGCCCAAAATTACACCCCTCTGATGCAGAGTGGCCCTGCAGTCCCCTTTCAATAACAAATAATAATAGCTTTTATTAAAATTAAACAGAGCACACATTAGGATGTTGGGTGTCTTTTAAGAGGCAATTTTAACTTTGCTGATTCATATTTCCCTCTATCTGTTACTAACAGGGCTTTTAATAAGCTTACTGCCCTCCACCCCCTACTGATGCACAGCAATGCCCACAGACACAATCTATAATTTCAACAGTGGCCAGTTTTTAATCCATCTTGTTGTTTTATGTTTATTTTTATTTATTAAGTTTTGGAGACCCCGTGACCCTGTACGCAGGATAAGCGGTTGACGATGGATGGATGGATGGAAGTTTTGGAGATATTTCTGCTGATGAAGCTTTTTTTCTCTGTTCCTGTTACACAAACTGGTGAGTCACATTTTAATTTGTTTAGCAGCTGCTTGCTTTTTTTTATTCAGATTTTAATCATTCTGGATGTTTAAAGCTGTGTTTTATAATTATTTTATTACACACAGCCCGCGGCAGTGTTATTGATATTTCTATAGTAAAACACTTTAGGGAGACGTTAAGCAGCTGCAGGTGTATTAGCACTCCCATTGTTGTTGGCTGTGTTTTATCAGAGATCCAACCACAGTCATAAGCTTATAGTTTCTGTAGTTATATAGTTTCTGAGTGTGTGATGTTGGCCTGATGCTGACTTTATTACTTATTTAATGTGATTTCACATTATTGAACTCTTATTCTACTCTTACTCTTACAGTAGTAGAGTAGTAGTACACAGTTACAATTTTTTCATACTGAGATACTCAGATCCGGATAATATTTTCCATAAACATAGTGCACATTTCCAACAATTGGGTGTTCAGTGTCTTTCTGATGAATACAGTAGGAGAAGCCACCAACCCAGTGATTAATTGCCAAATCTGTGCTACCACCTGAGCCACAACTTCTACAGTACAAAGTTGCAATGGTATGGAGATAAAAGAAAGACTAATTCATTATTGAATAATAATTTTAATTAGTACATAGAAGAATTACTGTATAAACAACTTCTTAAATAAATTTTAAAAGCCATTTATTTATTTCTGTATTTCTTAATTTTTGTATCTGTATGTTAAGAAGGTAAGTTGTTCTAGTCTCTCTCTTAAGCCTGATTTATACTTCTGCATCTTTCTGCAAGTACACACCAAAACGCTAGTGGCGGTAGCGTTATAGTGTCCACTGTGTTGACTTCTGCCAGCCGAGCCAGCATGAATGGGGGTATAAAATGATAAATGTGCAGCTCTCCTAGACTAGACTCCTAGACTAAATAGCATCTTTTCTTTATGATCAGCTATATTTGCTTTTAAGTGTTTTAATTACAGCATTTATTTATGTGCTTATTTATTTATCAATGAATAAGTCATTATCATTTTTTTGTCCTCCATACATTGAGGATATGGTGAGGAATTTGTGAAAATACATGAAATAGATGTGATGTGGGAGGCAGCCTGTCCTCTTCAGAAAAACGACCAAACAGGATGTTTATGCAGCATGTTATTACAAACCATGTTTACATGAATTGTGGCAGTGACCTCTAGTGGCTGGACGGTAGCAAATGAGGTGATATATAAATAGGGAGAAAGTCCACATTGGGAGGTGGATTGGTAGAGGGACTGGTTAAACCAACATAGTCTTTCACGCAGGAGAGCTGCTTTCGAGACCCTAGTGAAACCAAGTAAATAGTGAGTTATTTTGATTTTTAAGACTTCCGTCACGTGACTTATGTGACTTTTGTCATGGGCTTAACACGAGTTCCTTCACCGTGATATGCATCATGACTTACTTAATGTAGTTAAGGTCTGTTGGACTAGAATGGGAAACACTTATATGTGTCCTTTTGGGAGGCATGGATAAAACAACCTATTTTGTTGTTTAGGTTTGCGGACTTGTTGGTGGGAGGACACCCATGTGAAAGCATGTAGGACGCTTGGTACTTATCAGCTTTATCAACCAACTCAGAGCTCCCAGAATGAGTTTTTTCAGCTTTAGTAGCTTTTGAAGAACACTTTAGCAGGCATGACTCCTCACAGGAATACTTGAACCCAGGTCCTCCAGTTACAGGACACTCTCCTACACATCACACTACAATTATCTCTAGCTGCTGTTTAGATTACAGTCTATTAAATCATCTCAAAGTCGAAGGTGCTCTTCCTCAGAAACTGCTTCAACTCTCTTTTAATAAGGCAAGTTGCCCGAAGGACAGTCCTTTTCACAAGGTGGGCCTGAGAGAGTGAAAGTCAGTATGTATGACCCCAGCTTGTTTCAGCTGAAAAGAGAACTGCAGCTTCTTAGCCTTAACAAGGCTCCACTCTGGTGTATTTTATCACTATTAACTAACTAGGATGGCGCTTCAAGATCTCCCTATTCTTCACTTACAGAGAGTCATTGACGAGTCTAACTGCCCTTTACTGCCGTCTCGCTCTCCTTCAAACACCTATTCTGAGAGTGTAGTCCTGGTACAGATAGTATATTAAAGTTAGAAAAGGGGGAGTCTGTCAAGAGTTGGCGCAAACAGACCTTATTAACAGGATTTTATTTAGAAATGACAGATGAACTTTGAACAACTTGGCATGGGTTTTCTTTTACTCTCAACACACTTTCTGCCTTCTAGCAAACTGTGAACAGCATTGCTTACCAGCTGTGGCCTAATAAAGCAGAACTAAGTGAATCATTAATAAAAGATACAGGTGTCTCCAGCTCGGATGAGGCATCTAGAGAGCCAAAGTGTTTTCCAGGAATATTAATCATCCTGGGCATCGGCCACCATCCTCCTGCCCTTCCGTGAACCCCACAATTATCAATCTCCCACAGCATGCTAGCAGAGCGCTAAATGAAAACAAAGGAGAGGTGGTCAGGAACAAAACGCTGTCCGTGTTTCTGTCTGATAATCGATAAGAGGAGCAGTGAAGGGTGTGCGTGTGCGTGTGTGTGTGAGGCACTCCTTCAGCCTTGAACTGCTTCACTCATCTGGTAACTGTTGGACATCCTGGGAGTGAGGGGAAGACAGACGCTGACTGTGCTGCCTCTCAGCATTTGTTCCAAACTGACAACTTCACTGGAAATTGGACAAAAGCAAAGGTGTTTTGTGCTTGTGCGTGTGTTTGTTGAGGGATCAGGAGTTGTTACTTGCAGCAAAAGAGCATCAAACTGACTGCTTTGATGGAAATCAGACAGAAAAGTTACTCCTTTGACAACAAATGAGATAAATTGAGAGAAGGAGGAAAAGCTGACGCTAATTTGCTTAAAACACATCTGTCATCAGCTTTGATACTTAGATTGCCCTGAACCAAGAATCATCTCCCATCTTAAATATATTTGCGCGTTTGCATCTTCACTTTGTTTCTGTATCTTAATGAGATTCCTCAACATACACAGTCCTCCCGTTGTTCTTATTATCTTTAACGTAACATTGAAAGCACGGTGCGTTGATTTCTTTTAGTCAAAGACAAATGCGATTAAATCCTGGTTTAAACATCGTGGATGCGGGACGATGCTCAGCATTAACAGCTAATCCACATAATCTGTTATGTTTCAGTGAAGTAATTAGGGTATCCAATCACCAGTGTTTACACTGTGTGATTAGGGATTTACTGCATTTTGTGACATATCCTCTTGATGTAACCATATCAACTCAACTCAAGGGAGACAGATATTTGCAGGCTTCACCGTCTTTTACTGACGGGATCTGCTTTCACAGTCTCCAGATCTAATCATCGAGCAGCCACCCATTTCCTTCTGTTTTACCTGTTTCTTCACACACACTGAATAATCATTCACAATAATAACCCCAATTGTCATGTAATGGCTGCACAATTAAATTTCTCGATAAAAGCAAAGCCATAAAATATAAATGAGGCAGCAGCTTTGTGTTTTCGCTACAGATTCCATCAGTTAAGCCAAAATTGTTTTGAGTCAGGATGAGATAAACACCTCGCCTTTAATCTGCTTATTATTTTGAGGTTTCACTGATCGCCCCTCTTGTTGATAGGAAGTGAACGCCCCAACTCTGAAAGGATTACAGTGAAAGAAACGCAATCTTTATTTTTTGATCTGTATTTGTGTAATGAAGTGCTGCAGAGACAAGGATATCAGTGTGTTTATATTCATGCAAAACAATTACATTGTTTGACTTTTTGGAGGTCAAAGGAATTTACGCTAAAGTCACATAGCATCAAAAGAGCTCAATGAGTTCAGAAGCAAAGCAACAATTACCCTGAAACAAAGTGCCTGTTAGTGTTTGTGTGTATGTACATACTGTGTAGTACGGCCACATACAGGTGCCTTATGAAAAGTTCATTGTGAGCACCAGAACCTGACAGAGATTAAAGACTCAGGAAACCTTTGCAGGTGTTCTTCTCAGGTCGACGTTTTAGTATTATAAATTCTTTATTCTAAAATTCAAATTTTGAGCATTTTGAAATACTAGAGTTTTGATTTCTGTGAGCTGTAAGATATAATCATCAAGATTGAATCAAAAAAAAGAAACTTAAAATATATAACTAGAATACGTGACTTTTTTAATTAAATTACAGAGGAAAAATAACTTTTCCACAATATTAAAATTTTTCAAGATGCACCTGTACTGTAAGAAAGAAGGTTTGATGAGTGTGTATCCTGTATACTCTAAAGAACAAGACCATGAGGGCTACAGTATTTTGTAATTACATCATGGGTGCAACATTTTACCTCACCACAATTTTTTATTTAGAGGAGTATAAGAAAGTATTTTCTGCTGCAGAACTTTGAATATTGGTTGAAGAGAACACACTTTTTACTGCTGACATGTATTCATAACGCAAGAGGAAGGCTGCGTGTGACATATATTAGTTAAAGGGTCTTTTGTTGTCAGCTCAGCAAAAAGATCAGTGATTGACTGGGATATGAAAAGACTCCTTTATCTACATCATTTCTGTAAAAGGATTAAAAAATAGCACAGCAAGCTAACTTAATAAAGTGGCTTTAATTATATCACTGCACTGAAGAGATCCTGCGCAAAGACACAGTAATAATAGGGAATTTACAACAATCACACTGAATCGGACCTGCTGTGAGCTTTTAAAAGAAAACAAAAGTAGTTCAGGCAGGATGCCACCGTGGGAAGCAGAAAAGCTAAAATCACAAAGAGAAAAAAAAAAAGTCTGTATCCTTGCTGAACGTTAATGGAGAGTTAGTGTACGGTGACCTCCTTTATAATGGAAACGCTCTTCGCTGATGGCCCTATAGCGTTTTCATTGTCTGAACTACAGCCCGTCTGTGTTGACCCGGCCTTAGTCTCTCACCCTCTGTGTGCATTGGAAAAACAGTGTCACCAATTTTACGTTAAACTTAACACATTAGCTCTGCTTGAGTTACATTCATGTAACCACCAGTATTTTCAATTAAATATTTCTGCAGTTATTGATAGCAGCTAGCATTCACTCTGGTCGTTGCTGGATCGAGTGTTAATGTTGTCTGGTGAAATAAGGCTTCCTTCCCTGTTCAGAGAGAATTAAGGACCAGTTCCATTCAATATCATAAGATAAATAAAGAATTATCTGCTCTCCTACTTTGGCTGTGCTAATGCAAGTGCTTCCACATGACCAAAATAATGATGATTTATTGAAGGAGAACTGGTTTAGAAAGCTTGTTCTCTTCCAGATCCTCCAGTATTTATATCTATATGATTCTGCAAAAACTGCCCAGTACAGTGCTGCTCGAGGACTTCCCTATCTACATTTTCCCAGAAGTTGCAGGTGCTCTCCAACCTAACTTCTCATACTTTTCTGCGGCCACTGTACCGTATAGCCTGTGTGATCTGTTTGCAGGTATGTGTTTTTACCCTCCATACTGCATCCCGGTCCCATGCAGGGTTGAAAATCTTGAGTGTGGGGGCACGGCACACTGAGGTCCAGCTGGGCCTTCAGCATCCTCTGCCTCATCCTGCGGCCTTTTTCACACGTAGCGCTGCTACACGCTGACCAGGGAGACCAGCCTGAGTAGATACATGTCTCCGGTGTGTCATCTAAGAGAGAAACACGTCAGGTGATTAGTGTTGAGTTACTGAAGAAAGAGGCATTTTAATATCTTTGCAAAAATCTTCTGCTCATTTAATGATTGACTGGGATCACATGGTCGTTGTTTAATTTGCTTTTACAAAATTTCTTTTCCAGTTTCATTCCACTGAAGCAGCTGAACTGATTTGCACAGCAAAGAGGATGAGGAATGGGGGACTGGGCTGACATTGATTATTTAACATTGTATCCAAAGGTGATTACTACAGGTACTGGACCATAAAAGGCCACAAAGTGACATCTGAGAGGGAGAGGAAGGAGCAGAGGGACAGAGTTGGAGAGAAAGAGAAGAGTGTGATTTGTGAATGTCTTGTCCAATTATCAGTTACAGCAGAGCTACAAGAAGTAGCAGGGGTACTGGCTTCAATTAATGATGTTCTCTCTTGGGTGCAGAGAGGCAGAGAAAATGAGAGGAGAGGCCAGAGAGAATATACTGTCAGGCCTCAGGGACAGACCTGAGTGGGTCCTCCTGTCTGGCATAACATGTAATGACAGAGGAGACCGAGGGAAGAAAGGAGCTGGAGATGCAGAGAGGATGGTTAAGAGGAGAGTTGATGTGTAAGTGAAACAGCGATGCTCCGGGCTGACCAAGGGGACCAGCCTGAATGGATACTCGTCTCTTTAGTGTCATCTCACACAGAGAAGAGGGGAAACAAGGGAGAAAGAGAGGACAGGTAGAGTAAGAGAGGAGGAAAACGGAGGAGGGAAAGAAGCAAATGGTCTATGACTGACTGAGGAGGACATTTATTATGCAGCAGGAGATTCTTGTTAAGAATTCTGCTGCGTGGGCAAAATCCTGCACCCAACCCAAGGCCACTTACAGTGAAAGTAGGCACAAAGCACCCATGTACAACACAAACACCGTCACGCACCTGTCTGTCTTGTTCAGCCCTTGTGAGGGTTAAAAAGGAGGCAATAAGGACAGCTCATCTTGGAAATATAAGGTCACAGCACTGATCCCTGTAACGATGCCAGGGCTCAGACTACCAATTGCCAAATACAGAAGTCATAAGGAGAAGGTTCGATTGGGTGGTCTAGTGTGGTGAAACACACCTACACTTTTTTGAAAGATCTTGTTTTAGTACTGAAAAAGTCAACATATTCTGTCTTATATTCTGTCGTATATTTAATCTTTCCCTAACCTTAAAGGGATAATAAAGTATGAAGCTGAAGCCAGGAGGCAGTTAACTAAACTTGGCAGAAAAACTGGAAGTAACAGCTTGCCTGACTGTTCAAAGATTAAAAAATAATATATATATACACTAATTAACATGCTTCCTGTCTTTATGCTAAGCTAAGCTAATTGACCACTGGCTCAAACTACAGTTTATACTTTCCTCGCAATCTTTTTGTACTTACTCTCTTCGAGACTTTTGTTTCCCAAAATGTATAACTACTCCTTTAACCAAGAGATGTGACTTTCTTAAACATGCTTAAATCATGCTTTAGTTGACATGTGTAGATACTCTAGATACATTCAATATGAAGTCTTATGTTTATATAAAAAAAACAGTTTATTTGTATGTAATTTTTAGGAGAAATAACCCAGAACTTTCCATCTTTCATTGTGGATCTTTACAGTATAACAAATAAAACAAAACACAGATTTCATGTTTAGTACTGCTGAAACATAATTGTCCAGAATGACAGGATCTGTGATGCATCACAGAATACAAAGTGTTTGATAAGGAGAGACGCAGTTGTGTTGCTGTGCAGCAGTGGGGCGCCCACCTTCTCACAGCAGAGGGGAAACAAAGCCCTGCCAGATGTGCATTCTGACCATCTGACCTGAGCCCGTCTGAGCCTCTGCCTAAACCAGTTGTGTCTGTAATGAGCTAGGTGTGTGTCCCTGAACATCTTAAGACACTGAAGACCTACAGTCTCCTGCAGTGAGTATTTTGCAAACACAGAATGAATTGAGGAAACAGTCAGGTTCAAAGGACATTAAGGAATGCAATATCATGTAATGCCAGGGTTTACATAATTGTTAAAAAACTCCATCAAGACGTTTAAGTTAATCTATTGTATCTTGTTTGTGGTCTTTCCCTGAAGAACTGTAATCAGTGAAGAGTGTGTGTGTGTGTGTGTGTGTGTGTGTGTGTGTGTGTGTGCGCATTTACTGCACCTTCCTCCTTCTCCTCCTGTCCAATATCAGCTACGATGTCGTCTATGGTGTCAGGGACCACATTACATTGCTCTCCCTGCACACACAAGGAAGAATGGGGTCACACACTAACACACACACAAAAATGTATTCACAGCTTCTTTCAAGATGAAACAATCTGTGGAAAGTATTATTACAATGTTATCTGTTATCACCACTTGCTGCGTATGTAACAGCGATATTTCATAAGTGTGTGTATTGTGTTACCATGGTTACAGTCGGGTGGAACAACTTGAGGAAAAGATTTACAGTAAATGCCATTTTTACTGACCAATTTAATTTGCAATTATTTAGGTAACCTCCAGGCCTGTATTTGTGTACTATATAGTTTACATAATCACAAAGTTATCTTGCTTCAACATGAAAAACGTTAGGATACAATAGCACAAACCTTTCTAGCAATGCGTTCCACTACCACTTTGGCTACGGGTGTAATTGCCCCTCCCTCTGGGTCGTAGAACGGGCTCTGGGGGTGGTCCAAACTGGTCAAGGGCCGGATCTTCTCCTGAGGAACGGTGGGCTTGTTTGGTGACTGGAAGAGGCAGAAATGAGAGGGTAAGTGAGCAAATTACATATAAAGTACAGTATTCAACAGTTAAAGCTGCTTTAATCAACATGTTGATATTAGCGATGGATCAAATGACTGTGTGTCAGGTGAAAGGTGTTGCTCGTAGTGACGATAATACCACAAATAATTACCATTCGACTCTGCACTTAGTAATTAACTGGTGAACATAGAAGAGCATTTAGCTGCTAAAGCAATATTTCCCACTGGAGTTTTTGGGAATAATAATTTGTTTTATGCTTGTCAAGCAGATGCTAATGCTGGTCCATGTCTGCTTGATGTGAAAAAAAAAAGCCACTGTTTGCCAACACAGTCAGCTTTATACTGTAAGGTGATAATAAGCCAAAGTTTGCTGGCTGCGTTTTCCCCAGGTGGCCTACAAAATCTTTGAATGCAGCTTAAGTATCTTATATTTGAAAGAGCTGATGCCTCTGGAACTCTTTGAGCCGCCCACCCCCCACAATGACCTTCCTGGAAAGAAATCACATCTGTGAGCAAAATAAGACATTTATTTAACAGAAGCCGCACCTGGAGCCACATCAGGTGTCATCTCCCTGTGCTTCAGCTAACAACGTGAATCTAAAGGTGAATTAGCTCTGATGGCTCTTTAAAAATCAGGAGAAAATGGACGTGCGCAAATAAGATGCTACGGGTGAAGATCAGGTCATGATTTAAAGGGGAACTACCGCTCCCCCCTCCCCTCCCGCATTAGCATTGTGCAAATCATACACTTGGTGTCGGAATGGCTGGTGTCCTTGAGGAAAACATCTGCTCTTTATATTGAGTATCAAATACGCCTGAGGGAAAAGAGTCTGAGTCTGAGTTCCACTGAGGAATGGTTAGAGTAATCAAAGATAAACAGCCAGAATTTAGGGCATGGGAATTCGTGGGACAAGAATAATAATCCAATAGCAGCATATAGTGTCTGCACATCTAAGACACAGGCTTTTAAAAACAACATGGTTTCTCTTGAGGGAAGGAACAGAGCAGCAGTAATTTATGCATGCAAACCAGAATTAATAAAAAGTAATAACACTACAATAGCTGCAATGATTGTATACTGCACTGTGACCAAAACAGTCACCTACAGTCGCTGCTTCTCGGATAAGCCATCTGGTCCGAGGCCTATTTTCTGTTTGATCTCACTATGCATCATTTATATATCCATTTTAACACCCTTTTAATAAGAGATTCATGGCGTTGTTTCCAGGCGTGTGGGTAGCATGTGTGTCCATGAGCTTAAAAGATAAAAACACATGACAAACATGAATCATTCTCTTTGTTCTTACAGGTTTACTCAACATTGTCGTTTCAAGTTTCATACCAACTTTCAGTTTAATATATGCAGGAGTGCTGAATAAGACAAAGGGAAGACATCTACATAGGAAGTATTAGAGGAGGAAGTTACACCCTCATTTACAGTGCAGTAGCAACGATGGTGACGATTCTCTTTGTAGTTACAAGTGAAAGTTTCTTATCTTACATTTCAGTTAAAAGATCTCATGTGGAATGAGACCAAACAGAAGACATCCATCACTTTTGGGAAACAATTAGAAACTCCAAATTTACTTGTAATGTTGGCAAACAGAAGGAAACTATAGCGTCTTTGCTTTTCACACAGTGCAAAGATGAACAAGCAGAGGGTCTGGAAGACATGTACTTCCATGTGTCTGTCTGTAGGTGGCAGCGATTTAATGTCTGCTGTACAGTAGGATGCGGTCAATATCTGACGGTAAAATTGAACAGTTATACATTGTGTTTTCAGGGTAACACTTTCAGGATAAGAGGCTTAGAAGCATACATTATCAGCTTGGAAACTATTTTTTAAAAGGACCAGGACCAAAGAAACCTATGTCTACACAGTGCAGAGTTACATCGTAGTGTTAAATTCTACATTCTATTCACAATTCACATACATCCAGCACACTACACATGAAACAACTGCTCACAAATCTGGGTGCGTCTGTGGGTAAGAGGGCTAAGGAGACCAAATAATGACACTGATAAAAGGCTAAAAACTAGGCCCATAACAGACAAGAATGAATCCATATTTAAAAAGTACCAGAAGCCAAAATGAAAGAAGTGAAATTTTCATACGGAATTTACCTCCCCTCAGCAGGATAAACTCCACGCTTATTCATGAGGTTGTAAACTATAAATAAACTGCGTTAGTCTCCAAACACTGGGTGCATATGGATGAGCACTATTCATTCCAAGCATGTAGAAAACTAAAAAGGTTTGTCACAGTGACGGATGGAAGTCAAGAGTGCTGTGATGTGAAGGTTTGAAATTAATGCGTTAACTGTCAGCTTTCACTAGAGCAACAGTGGTATCTCTAGCAAGTGGACTGCATCAGTACAGCTTTAAATAAGACACAGTTAAGATATGTGTCCAATGTGTCACAGTACGGTACTGTATTTATTGTAACACGCCCTCAATGGCCACTTTGAAGGTTTTAACTTTTTATGGCAAATTGTGGCCAACAAGCTTTGTAACTAATATTCAGTAGCTGGTCAGCTAAACAGCACATTATTATGCTCTACAAACATCTAACTCTGGTATTGAATTGATCTAATTTGTTTTTAGGAAACATCAAATTAGCAACAGCTGCTTTGGCTAGTAATTAGCTAACAAAGACGACTCTTTATGGAGATTGACTAGGCTGCGCTTTCTCAAGCTAATATCAGTTTAGAGTGACAGCACCGACTAGACAATAAAATGATAGTATAACACTATTGTAATGTTATATGCACATTTTTTTATATCCTAGCTTATTTTTAGGCCATTGGGCCACCAGGACACCACATTGTTAGAATTAAATTACTTTCCAGTGGTCCTCCATGATACATCTGAACTAACCACTAAGATTAGGATACATTACCTCATATGTGACACCACTGTCAGTGCCTGCATCCCAGGGAATGAGGTCTGTCACCAGCCTTTGGACCCAGCCACACTCTTTGGTACAGAGGTCCTCTCCTGACAGCCCCACATTCCAGTCTGGGCTGGGCCCAAGCATGGTCAGGAAGGACATCAGGTGACGGGTCCGGTCCACAGAAAACTCTGCTGATGGAGCTGCTCGCCTGGTGATGGGAAACAAACAAAGAACATATCCAAATAAATAAATTCCACTGCAAATATTACGTAAATGAGACAGCCATAATTATGTTTGGAACATTATCATCTCAGGGGAAACATTTTCCTACATCATAACAATTTCTAGTTAATTACTTGCAAAATGGCCTGTTCCGATGTCATGACCTCTGACTTGAGTCACACTCTGGTAATTGCCGGATAATGGAAACTCCGAAATACCCAATTAGAGGCAGACCACAGCTCATAATGACATATTGTCTCAAAACCTACTGAAAACAATCAAATATTCTGAAGATGATACTATTGGGGTAATTTGAAATTTCTTCATGAAAAACAGGTCTTTGTATCTTACTTTTTTGTGTCACAACCTAGACGTAAGTGCAAACACAACTATTTTAGAACAACTTGACAACTTTGCATGCAAAATTAAACAAAATGAACTAATATTTCATACTCAGTGAGTGCGTGACTGTGTGGGAGAGTATGCATGTGTGTGAATGTTCTCATTAGTAAAAATAATAGTGGCACAATATATCGCAAATGACAGACAACGCTAGGAGGGGGTAATTAAGCAGATGTTTGGTGAAAGATACAGTACATTAGTGTGTGTGTGTGTGTGTGTGTGTGTGTGTGTGTGCGCTCATTCTCATGCAGTGCTGAGGGCTACAATTGTGATAAGTTTCTAATTGCTCTTGAACTAATTCCAAAGAGTTCACAGGATGCCAGAGTGTGTGACTATTCAAACAAGTCGGTCTTGCTTTTCAGAGCCGCATAAAGGAAGGAAGCATGAAACAATTAAGAATACGTTTTTCTAAAATGCACATAATACAATAGTATCTTAATTTCATTTAGAATTTATACTTTCCAGAGTCTGTCAGAAATTGAACTCCCCCCTCTCCCCCAACTTTTAAGTACTTATCCTGCTAATTAAGAATCTGATACCGCCTACAATGAAGATTAGGTCTTTGTGATTCATGGATTAGTAGCATTATCAAAGCTTACTGTAACAAAGAAATGAAATATGTGTCTCAAATTGTTTCTGTTGCTCAGCCAGCATGTCATGTAGAACGGATCACTGAACAACAGTTTTGTATATCTTTGTTTCCTACATGCCAAACAGATAATGTTCTGTTATGTTTTAATCTAGGCTTGAAGGAATGCTCAGGCAACTTCTGAACAGAAACAAGTAACATATTGTTCTGTGGGCCTCCAAAATGCAAACTTTTCTTGAACAGAAAAAAAAAAATTGCCTTGTTTTCAGCTTGACCACCAGCCTGGAAGAAAAGCATGTAATCATTCAACTGAAGCTAAGGCACCAAAATAGGATGTTTTCATCCAGACAACATGATGAATAAATGATCATGAGACCCAAGCGCTCCAGTGTGAACAACATGTTAATGGTCAACTTGATGGCAGATGTAATACCTCCATTGGTCAGAGAGAAAGGACTTAAAAAACAAAATGAAACCTAAATTCTCCTCACATTTTGTGTAAGTAAATATATATTTTTGTAGGTATTTGTGGAAACAGTGTCTATGCTTCATGCCTCTGGGTGGGCGTGACTATTGGCAGGGCCAATGGCCTTAAAAATAGATGATAAAATAGATGATAAAAAATGTTTATGTAACATGCCATAGTCCTGTATAGCCTAACATCTATTTTTCCACATATTGCTAGATATGTTACCATTAGCGATTTACGTCTGACCCTTTAAAACATTTGAACCATGTGAGATGTTATTTTTCCATTCATGTTATTTTAACACCTGCTTAGTCATCTGCAGCTCCTGCATACTTGTCGTGTTCATCCAAAAATATAAAAGGAGGAGGTCTCTCTAGTGTTTGGCGAGTACTGTGGGGAGTGCTGAAATTATACATGGAACTTAGGAACAGTTAACACTGTTGGTTCCCAGATGCTTAGATACCTGTGTCTGTTGGAAGGGATGTGGTATGACTTATTATATTATTTTAGTGCCTGCCCACACATTCATTGCATCAATCAAATTAATATACTGACATTTTCAGTGTGACCCAAAAATCCATTCCCCCTGGAGAACTGTGTGTAGGGGGCAGTATCACTGCAGAAAGTATGGAAGTCAAAACAAGCACCACGGATGTATATATACTAATTTATCAGTAAAAATACATGTTCATTTATTTTATGGGTTTACATTGCTGTTTCAGAATATTCAGATTTTTTTTATTTTTTTATTTCTCAGCCTTTTCCCTTTAGTGAAACTGACATTGAGTGATACTTACAGGTTGAGCGGCTGCCATGCCGGCCACTGAGCCTTAGTTTTAATGACAGTCAGTACTTCATCTCCCTGCGGAGCGAAAGAGACAGAGAAAGAGGGAGAGGGAGAGAGAGAGAGAGATACATGAAGCAATTTGTCACTAAATGAATGACGATAAAGGGAGAGAAAAAAAAAACATTGACAGGGAAAAGGCCAAAATTGACAAATTGACATGACTGAGGGTGAGTAGTCTCATCCAAGGACGGCAAAGTGTATTCCACTTTTCAAAGGCTTAAGAGCCAGGACAAAGTGTGTCTCTTATCAGGACAAAATTGGCTCTGTGCTGTTTAATAATAACCGCCTGTTATTCTAGTGGGGACCCTCACTCTGCACAGCACCTAGCACTCTCTATAGTCTCCATGTAGCATTATGGTCCACTTTATGCAATGCACAACACATTATTTATCATAATGCATCAGATGTAATCACTCAGCTGAAAGCAGGAAGACAAATGATGGATTTAGTGTGGTGCAGAAGTTGATTAGAATGGAATTGGAAAGTCCTCTCTGGTTTAATAAGAGCCTTTGCTGGGTTTTCTCCACTTCCTCCATCTTTTACTCTCTTTCTTCTCCAAACACTCACACAACAGCTTCAGTTTGGGACATGCCAAAAAAATATTTTTTTTCTGGTTGACTGAAGGTTCTACAGTCGCCTTGAAAGCCTCCCCTGTTCCCCAGTGGAGAAAACAAGTGTGTGTGAGTTTGTGTGTGTGCGGGTGGGCGGTTGGGTGGGTGTCTGCATGTGTATGTTTGTGTGGATGAACAAGTTACAAGTCTGTGTCCATCTTCTCTTCAGAGCAGCCCGGGGCTCTGTGGCCTCTCTGGCCTCAAACCTCACTCCATCCTCTCACAAGCACACAAACAAACCCCCACACACACACACCACACACGCACAGGTGGACACACATAGACAAATCTGCGTATGAATATAGACAACCAGAGGGACAGAAATACACAAGCTGGCACATAGTCAAGAAAGACAGACACATAAATAGGAGAACCAATGAGCAATGGATGAATATTCAGAGAGGCAGGGTGGCAGGCAGAGAGACAAGGGATTTGTGTTTCCACTTGCAGCAATTTGGGAAAGAAACAACATATGTGGGGAAAAAATCTTGTAGTTGAGCAGGGTTCAATTTAAACTCCAGTTAGGAAAAGTAAATTAAAGAATCATTAGAGTTGGATTTTCTAGCCAGAGGTTATTTTCTCAAACCTCAGTTCATGATGTTATGTCACGTGAACATGGCCTCACAATCAACAGGTAAAAAAAAACCTTACTTAGATTGTATGCTGCCACTTCTTGGTTTGATTTTACGATTGATTTCTGTTTGATTTTAATGACATGTTTGTTTTTTGTTTTTTTTAAATCTATATTGATACCATAACGCAAGTTAAACCAGTAGTAATAGTTTGTGTAGAGCTTCCTCCCAATTCCCTACTAGATAGGAAATGATGCAAGGCATGAATTTCGGCCAGTTTAAAATGTGAAAATGTTACAAATTGCAGGCATTTACATTTTCAGTCTCTAAACCAGTTTGACCACTGTCTGAGATTGATATCAAAAGAAAAGTGCATTTGTCTTTTATTTAAATGTCTAAAATGACCTATGTTCACATTTACCTGAGCTCCAGCAACAAACTGAGTTTTGACAGAACTGCAGAAGTAGCAAGAGGGATGTTTATTAGAGCTGTTAAATATCGTAGGGACGATGTCAGAGTGGGTTACCTTTTTACTAAAACCAGTCAATATTGTTTTCTCTTAACCCTGGCTGTGATCTTTCCCTGACCTTAAAGCTCCACTAATCTTAATATCTGTATATTAACAATTGTCAAATGTGTATGTGAAAAGGTGTCGCTCATAATGACAAACCTATACAGAATCATCACCCAACTCTGCAATTCCCTTAGGCTCTGCTAAGTTGAGCATCTTTTAGCTCATTGTTTTGGTTTTCTGGTCTGCAGATTTATTGTTTTTTGGTTCATTCTTCACTATTGTCTCATCAGTGTAATTTTCAAAACCAGCAGGCAGCTGTTTTGGTCAAAAAGGTATTGTAAATGCATTGACTACCTGCCGGTAAACAGAGATAGGCACAAATGAATGGCAGATCTAAATACACTGAACAAAATTCTTGGGAGGGTGTTTGAGGTTCAGGTTGTTGATTGTGGCCTGTGGAATGTTGGTCCACCCCTCTTGAATGGCTGTGCGAAGTTGCAGTCAGGTAAAGACCCCGATGAGGACGACGAGCATGAGGATGAGCTTCCCTGAGGCGGTTCCTGACAGTTTGTGCAGAAATTCTTTGGTTATGCAAATGGTTTGGTTACACGTGGTCTGCGGTTGTGAGGCTGGTTGGATGTACTGCCAAATTCTCTGAAACACCTTTGGAGACGGCTTATGGTAGAGAAATGAACATTCAATTAACGGGCAACAGCTCTGGTGGACATTCCTGCAGTCAGCATGCCAATTTCACGCTCCCTCAAAACCTGAGACATCTGTGGCATTGTGCTGTGTGATGGAACTCCACATTTTTGAGTGGCCTTTTATTGTGGCCAGCCATAGGCACACCTGTGCAATACCCATGCTGTCTGAGCAGCATCTTGATATGCCACACCTGTGAGGTGGATGGATTATCTCGGCACAGGAGAAGCGCTCACTAACACAGATTTTGACAGATTTGTGAACAATATTTGAGAGAAATAGGCCTTTTGTGAACATAGACAAAGTCTTAGATCTTTGAGTTCAGCTCATGATGAATGAGGGAAAATATAATTTTGTTCAGTGTATATATATATATATATATAGCCATATGAATATATTTTACATCTAACAGCTTTGGCAGGCACTGAAAAAACAATGTGGTCCTGGTGATAGGGGAGTCAGATCCGAAAAGGCTCATTTGGGAAAGTAATGACAACATATTTGTCATTTAGTTTTGAGGGCTTTTCATCAAATTAAGTCAAATTAACTTAATGTGCGTAGCCATCATATGATGAATGGGCTTTATATGCCAACATCAGCAATGGTTCCCACCCCAGCACAAGCTTTTAAAAGGACAAGGAAATCCTCTAAAACCAAAACTTAGCACATAGGTGAAAAGCGGGGAATGTCAACATTTGATAAAGTTAATCACTATTGTCAAGAGAATCCATATATCCTTATTTTGATAAAATATGTCCAATATCATCACTCCAATGAAATAAGTCCTTTAAAAGAAGTTTTAGTTCTTCACACTGTCCAATACGCACCAGGCAGGTGGGGGTTTGGGAAAGGTCAATAGCAGCTTTCCGTCCCTTCCCTGTTATACATTGTGGGACAACAGTTTCCATCAGCACAACATCCCACACAAATCACTCCAAGTCACTCAACACTGAGTACTTATACTTACTGTATATAAGGTATAGTATAGGCTACTTAATTTAGTAATTTTTCCATTGTGAACACACAACATTCTCAAATAGTTAGAAACGACTAAACATTTTACCACAGTTGCTCATGTTTTCCCCACTGCGGTGGCTCAAATGCAAGGACACCAGTCATTTCCCCCACTTTCTAGATTGAACATTGAAAGGATAAACATGTCGAAGGTAATTTTTTCCATCATTCTTTCACTCCCTCCACCATCTGCCATTTCCAGAAACTCTCAATGTTTTGTTTCATTTTATTCCAAAAGAAAAGCATCATATTCCTATGAAACCGTCCTGCACAGCCCTTAGCTGGTATCATGTAATAGAAAATGCTTTGTGGAGGCTGGTAGGAAATGCAAATCTTCCTGTAATGGTCTTGTTTGTATATGGTAATTATTGTAATGGCACAAAATGACTGTGATTTACCAATGTTTAAATGCACATTGCATTTTCATGAACGTTTTCAAGGAGAAGAGAAAGAGTGGAACAGAAGGGATGAGGGGTGGAGGTAGAGAAGCTGGTCAAATAAGGGCAGAAAAGAGGAGGAGAAAATTGTGGTGGAGAACAAGACGAACAGAAACAATAAGCGTGAGTACACAAAGTGAGACAAGGAGTAGGAGAGGGTGGGACAGGGAAAGTGATACAGCTGAAAAGAATGATAGCAAGAAGAGACGAAAGAAAGAAGTTAAAATGAAGACAGAGGAAGAGAGCGTGAAAATGGAGCTGAGATGGATTGGGGCAGGAACAAGGGAGACACAACTGAGAGGGGCAGAGGGAGCACCGACAAGAATGCACTTAATGGAAGAAGAGAATGATACTAAGAAAGCAGGGGGTTCAAAAAGAGCAGAGGAAAAGAGCAGGGGTTGGAGGACACACACGCACACACTCATCCAGTTAAAAAAACTTTACATTCATTATATTCAGTACTCCCTAGCATGATAATATTTCCTCCCCCTTCTATTTTTCACTCTCTACTTGATCCTTTCTAATTATCCATATGTCCTTACATTACTTTTATTCCTCCTTTCATTTGATCTTATTCTTACTTCTTATTAGCCCCCCCAACCATTTTCCAAACCTAACCATAATTCTAATTACTGCAGTCAGTTAAGCTAAACATAAAACTAAAAAAGGGCCAAATATCCTTAGTAAATTGTCCCACAGTGAGGCTGTACGTCACTAAATGCTAACGTTGGCATGGCAACATACTCACAATGACAATGCTAACATGCTGAGGTTTAGCTGGTTTAATATTTACTATGTTCACCATATTAATTTAGCATGCTTAGGTTAACTGAGGGAATGTCATTATTTGGTCAGGAATGAAAATAGTGGACACATTTTGACTAGCATGGGTAAAGAAATCTACAGACTACAGTAACGAATAAATCCAAAAGAGCTGGGCACTTGACCAGAATATCAGTGCTTTGTGAATATCTCCTTACATTTCTTACCACATTTATTTACCACACAATGTGTCTCAACTCCTGTTACAGTGTCTAGACCCATTTAAGGCGAGGCTCTCTCTTACCTATGTGCCTCTCTCTGAGACATCAGATATCATTCATGCTCTGTCAGACAGCAGCAGGTGTGACAGCAGTGAAAGTGAAGAGGAAAAAGCTGAAGCCCA